CGGCGCTCCGAGTGGGGTCATCTGGCAGTCTCCGGCCACCTAAATTAGGACCCCACCTGGAGCGCCGCCCACCGGAGCAGCAGTGACGAGACGCTCGGCGAGGTAAGTAAGATAAAAGAAACATAGCGCAAGCTTCGGCGCTATGTATCGGGGCAAGTACAAGTACTTTTCAAAATGCCCTGTATCCGGCCCGCTTCCGATGCTAGCATCAGTATCGGGACATCCCTAGTTAAAGGTTATTATTACTATTAAATTAAAGAAATGTATCCTGGTTACTAATCTAGTTCTCCCATTATGGAAGGTGTAGAGATCATGTACGCTGTACATCGGAAGGGTTTTACCTTTTCAGGGAAATGATACTTAATATTCCTATAGAACGTTTTAACCCTGAACACCTGTGATTGGATTATCTTCCATCAGCCAGTATACTTCACCATCGGGGAGCTGTTCTGCAGTATGAATAGACTATAACGGCCCCCAGGATTGCAAAGGCAGTCATGCGTAAAACGTAATCCGACCGTTCTCACGGCAAAGTATATTCAGAGCCGTCCAGAAATATGTAAGAGTTCCTACAAGAAGAACCGTCTGACAAGAGTCAAGGACTTCCCATAGACTTGAGCTAGACGCCCAGTGCAGCTGGAAATGGCTGGATTCTGTTGAGTCCTACTGCACTTTGGTGAGTGCGTTAGGAAGATTATAGTTGTTTAGGTTTGTTTTATATTTTTTTGGACCGTGTATGTACTATGTGGACACCTTTCCACATTGAGTTCTGGTGTTCCAGTGATGGGTACTGTTATTACTAGGGCATACAAAGACCCTTGGCTTGGTGTGGTTGCACCTGCATGGACATCTGATTCATTCACCCAAACTGTCCTCTCCGTTCCACTCAAGACCTCCTGCTCTCTAGATCCCTCGTTACCTCCTCCCTTGCTCACCTCCAGAGCCTTTTCCATCATCTGCCAATCACAACTCTGCCCCCAGCTAAATCCCCAACCTTGTCTCAAAATATCACCCAAAACGTCCTCCTCGCTCTTCCGAAGACTTCCTTCTCTCTAGCCCCCTCGTCGCCTCCTCCCACGCTCGCCTCCAGGACTTCTCCAGAGCCTTTTCCATCATCTGCCAATCACAACTCTGCCCCCAGCTAAATCCCCAACCTTGTCTCAAAATATCACCCAAAACGTCCTCCTCGCTCTTCCGAAGACTTCCTTCTCTCTATCCCCTAGTCACCTGCTCCCTTGGTCACCTCCTCCCACGCTCACCTCCAGGACTTCTCCAGAGCCTCTCCCATCCTCTGGGACTCCCGACCCCCCCTTATCTCCTAGTCTGTCCACCTTTTTAGGTGTTTCTTGAAAACTCACCTCTTCAGGGAAGGCTATCACACCACACCTTTTCAGATGGAATCAGGATTGTTGGTAAGGAAATCAATGTGTGCATATAGTGTGGGACAAAGAGCTTCAGGGTTAGGGTTAGTTCTGTGGTTTAGTGGGCAGGGCAGACTACATGGATTGGGATATCAGTGCAACAATCGGCCCAAACAGAAAATGTTAAGTACATTGGATTTCTGGGGAAATCAACAGGTATTGTTGTGGACTTACAGAGTTTATAAAGGGATACAACTTGGGGACATGTGTGGTTAATGCAGAGATGCATTGAAAACAAAAATATTACTAATAATAATTTATTATTATTATGTCTTGAGAAGCAGTGCAGCATTGTTGCCACCCCTTCACATAAAGCTGCATTAGGTGGAGTTCAGACATTTGTGGGACTTTGTAGGGGGCTAGGAGAGCACAGGAAGTGCAGACTGACCTGTAATTAAGTGCATCAGCTCATATTTATAATAAGAGGTCTCTGTTCTATTTTAGGTAAAGGGAAACAATTACAAATTGAGAACTTGGTTACACAAGACAACAAAAGTGTTGCTGTGGCAGTGTAATTCATTGTAATCTCTGTATTGTGTGATGGAATTTTCCTCGTGTCATGCTGAATAAATGTTGATTTGTTTTCTGAGAACACAGAGCTGACAGCCGAGAGTCTTACGCTGATATTACAATGCTTTATGTTTCTATAGTCTGTTAGAGACTTCACATGTCTGGGCCAAGCAAAATACATTCTGAGTTTTGTTGCCTTCTAGTTTCCATGACCCAACCTTTTATGTTATTTATGTTCCATAAGCTTCCTGCTTCACGTTCTACGATCGTTTTACCAAAATAATCGGCTTGGTGGTAAAGGTCCTTCACCTCCTAGTGTTGCGGTTGGGTGTTCTATGGGCCATATTAAATGTCATATGTGATGCAGTTTCCTTATTTTTCTTTCGGTAACAGGCCACATTGTCCAGTAAAAGTGACAGTGACCGCGGTTGGGACAAACCATAAGTTGCTGCCGGGGGTGCTTACAGAAGTCAGCTTTCATTGATATGGCTTAGACCTATTTTCCAAATTAAACAAAAAAGGTTGCTTTAACCGCTTGATGAGATCCTCTCGCCAGATCGTTCATGTCGACAACAATCTTAGAAGCTGCCAGAAGAGGAGAGGGCTATGGCGTGGAAAAAGAGAGGGGGCTGTGCTAGGGAACCGACTCTTCCTGGAGAAGTCAAATTCTCTAGCAAGTTCAAAGGCACATTGCAGATATAAGTTATGGGCAGCCCCCTTCGCAGTGATGGGCAGCCCCCTTCGCAGTGATGGGCAGCCCCCTTCGCAGTGATGGGCAGCCCCCTTCGCAGTGATGGGCAGCCCCCTTCGCAGTGATGGGCAGCCCCCTTCGCAGTGATGGGCAGCCCCCTTCGCAGTGATGGGCAGCCCCCTTCGCAGTGATGGGCAGCCCCCTTCGCAGTGATGGGCAGCCCCCTTCGCAGTGATGGGCAGCCCCCTTCGCAGTGATGGGCAGCCCCCTTCGCAGTGATGGGCAGCCCCCTTCGCAGTGATGGGCAGCCCCCTTCGCAGTGATGGGCAGCCCCCTTCGCAGTGATGGGCAGCCCCCTTCGCAGTGATGGGCAGCCCCCTTCGCAGTGATGGGCAGCCCCCTTCGCAGTGATGGGCAGCCCCCTTCGCAGTGATGGGCAGCCCCCTTCGCAGTGATGGGCAGCCCCCTTCGCAGTGATGGGCAGCCCCCTTCGCAGTGATGGGCAGCCCCCTTCGCAGTGATGGGCAGCCCCCTTCGCAGTGATGGGCAGCCCCCTTCGCAGTGATGGGCAGCCCCCTTCGCAGTGATGGGCAGCCCCCTTCGCAGTGATGGGCAGCCCCCTTCGCAGTGATGGGCAGCCCCCTTCGCAGTGATGGGCAGCCCCCTTCGCAGTGATGGGCAGCCCCCTTCGCAGTGATGGGCAGCCCCCTTCGCAGTGATGGGCAGCCCCCTTCGCAGTGATGGGCAGCCCCCTTCGCAGTGATGGGCAGCCCCCTTCGCAGTGATGGGCAGCCCCCTTCGCAGTGATGGGCAGCCCCCTTCGCAGTGATGGGCAGCCCCCTTCGCAGTGATGGGCAGCCCCCTTCGCAGTGATGGGCAGCCCCCTTCGCAGTGATGGGCAGCCCCCTTCGCAGTGATGGGCAGCCCCCTTCGCAGTGATGGGCAGCCCCCTTCGCAGTGATGGGCAGCCCCCTTCGCAGTGATGGGCAGCCCCCTTCGCAGTGATGGGCAGCCCCCTTCGCAGTGATGGGCAGCCCCCTTCGCAGTGATGGGCAGCCCCCTTCGCAGTGATGGGCAGCCCCCTTCGCAGTGATGGGCAGCCCCCTTCGCAGTGATGGGCAGCCCCCTTCGCAGTGATGGGCAGCCCCCTTCGCAGTGATGGGCAGCCCCCTTCGCAGTGATGGGCAGCCCCCTTCGCAGTGATGGGCAGCCCCCTTCGCAGTGATGGGCAGCCCCCTTCGCAGTGATGGGCAGCCCCCTTCGCAGTGATGGGCAGCCCCCTTCGCAGTGATGGGCAGCCCCCTTCGCAGTGATGGGCAGCCCCCTTCGCAGTGATGGGCAGCCCCCTTCGCAGTGATGGGCAGCCCCCTTCGCAGTGATGGGCAGCCCCCTTCGCAGTGATGGGCAGCCCCCTTCGCAGTGATGGGCAGCCCCCTTCGCAGTGATGGGCAGCCCCCTTCGCAGTGATGGGCAGCCCCCTTCGCAGTGATGGGCAGCCCCCTTCGCAGTGATGGGCAGCCCCCTTCGCAGTGATGGGCAGCCCCCTTCGCAGTGATGGGCAGCCCCCTTCGCAGTGATGGGCAGCCCCCTTCGCAGTGATGGGCAGCCCCCTTCGCAGTGATGGGCAGCCCCCTTCGCAGTGATGGGCAGCCCCCTTCGCAGTGATGGGCAGCCCCCTTCGCAGTGATGGGCAGCCCCCTTCGCAGTGATGGGCAGCCCCCTTCGCAGTGATGGGCAGCCCCCTTCGCAGTGATGGGCAGCCCCCTTCGCAGTGATGGGCAGCCCCCTTCGCAGGGATGGGCAGCCCCCTTCGAAGGGATGGGCAGCCCCCTTCGAAGGGATGGGCAGCCCCCTTCGAAGGGATGGGCAGCCCCCTTCGAAGGGATGGGCAGCCCCCTTCGAAGGGATGGGCAGCCCCCTTCCAAATGAAGGATAGCCCTTTTAAATGAGGGAAAGCCCCCAAATGATGTATAACCCTTCCAAATTGGGGGAAATATCCTCCAATGATGGATAGTATACCGCCCCCCTATTGAGGGACAGTTGACAGGTTTGGTGTTTCACTTTTGCTGAGCTATATAAGGCAAAAATAATGTTTTTGATTTTAAAAAAAAGAATCATCTAAAAGGTGAAAATAATTG